TATATGCATTCGGGGTAGAATTTTCCATTCTATCCGTTGTGACACTCTACGTCTGTCAGTTCCACCCCAAAAGGCCATTTTTAATATTTCGAGTCCGTTAATGCTAACTCCCGTGAAAAAAAGAGGTGCAACACGAGGACTTCCGAGGAGGTCACCCATCCTAGTACTACTCTCGCCCAAGCACGCTTCACTGCAGAGTTCTGAAGGGATCCGGTGCATTAGTGCTGTTATGATCGCACCTGCATGTGTATGCGCGATCAAATTCCTTAAGTCGAAATTATCCAATTTTGGCATAACTTTAGAACCGTATATAGAATTCGACATATAATATATGCATTCGGGGTAGAATTTTCCATTCTATCCGTTGTGACACTCTACGTCTGTCAGTTCCACCCAAAAGACCATTTTTAATATTTCGAGTCCGTTAATGCTACCTCCCGTGAAAAAAAGAGGTGCAACACGAGCACTTCACAGGAGGTCACCCATCCTAGTACTACTCTCGCCCAAGCACGCTTACCTGCGGAGTTCTTGATGTGGATCCCCGGTGTCATTATGTGCTGGTAATGATCGCACCTACATTGTGTAACAGCGCGATCAATATCCTTAAGTTCGTAATTATCAATGTTTGGCATAACTTTAGAACCGTATATCAGCAATTCAGACATATAATATTATGCATTCGGGTAGAATTTTTCCATTCTAATCCGTTGTTGACACCACCCTACGTCTGTCAGTTCCACACCCAAAAGACCATTTTTAATATTTCGAGTCCCGTTATAATGCTACCATTCCCGTGAGGGAAAGAGGTGCAAAACACAACACCGAGGACCTTCCCAGGAGGCTCACCCCATCCTAGTACTACTCTCTGCTGCCCAAGGCAACTCTCTTACAACTACTGCGGAGTAGCTCGATGGGATCCGGTGCATTAGATGCTGGTATGATTCGCACCTGCATGTGGTACGCGCGATCAAATTCCTTAAGTTCGTAATGTAATCCATTTTTGGCATAACTTTAGAACCGTATATCAGAATTCGACATATAATATATGCATTCGGGGTAGAATTTCCATTCTATCCGTTGTGACAGACTACGTCTGTCAGTTCCACCCCAAAAGACCATTTTTTAATATTCGAGTCCGTTAATGCTACCTCCCGTGAAAAAAAAGAGGTGCAACACGAGGACTTCCCAGGAGGTCACCCATCCTAGTACTACTCTCGCCCAAGCACGCTTAACTGCGGAGTTCTGATGGGATCCGGTGCATTAGTGCTGGTATGATCGCACCTGCATGTGTACGCGCGATCAAAATTCCTTAAGTCGTAATTATCCATTTTGGCATAACTTTAGAACCGTATATCAGAATTCGACATATAATATATGCATTCGGGGTAGAATTTTCCATTCTATCCGTTGTGACAGACTACGTCTGTCAGTTCCACCCCAAAAGACCATTTTTAAATATTTCGAGTCCCGTTAATGGCATGTGTACGCGCGATCAAATTCCTTAAGTCGTAATTATCCATTTTTGGCATAACTTTAGAAACCGTATATCAGAATTCGACATATAATATATGCATTCGGGGTAGAATTTTCCATTCTATCCGTTGTGACAAACTACGTCTGTCAGTTCCACCCCAAAAGTCCAAAAGACCATTTTTAATATTTCGAGTCCGTTAATGCTACCCTCCCGTGGAAAAAAAGAGGCGCAACACGAGGACTTCCCAGGAGGTCACCCATCCTAGTACTACTCTCGCCCAAGCACGCTTAACTGCGGAGTTCTGATGGGATCCGGTGCATTAGTGCAGGTATGATCGCACCTGCATGTGTACGCGCGATCAAATTCCTTAAGGTCGTAATTATCCATTTTTGGCATAACTTTAGAACCGTATATCAGAATTCGACATATAATATATGCATTCGGGGTAGAATTTTCCATTCTATCCGTTGTGACAACTACGTCTGTCAGTTCCACCCCAAAAGTCCAAAAGACCATTTTAATATTTCGAGTCCGTTAATGCTACCTCCCGTGGAAAAAAGAGGTGCAACACGAGGACTTCCCAGGAGGTCACCCATCCTAGTACTACTCTCGCCCAAGCACGCTTAACTGCGGAGTTCTGATGGGATCCGGTGCATTAGTGCTGGTATGATCGCACCTGCATGTGTACGCGCGATCAAATTCCTTAAGTCGTAATTATCCATTTTTGGCATAACTTTAGAACCGTATATCAGAATTCGACATATAATATATGCATTCGGGGTAGAATTTTCCATTCTATCCGTTGTGACACTCTACGTCTGTCAGTTCCACCCCAAAAGGCCATTTTTAATATTTCGAGTCCGTTAATGCTAACTCCCGTGAAAAAAAGAGGTGCAACACGAGGACTTCCGAGGAGGTCACCCATCCTAGTACTACTCTCGCCCAAGCACGCTTCACTGCAGAGTTCTGAAGGGATCCGGTGCATTAGTGCTGTTATGATCGCACCTGCATGTGTATGCGCGATCAAATTCCTTAAGTCGAAATTATCCAATTTTGGCATAACTTTAGAACCGTATATTAGAATTCGACATATAATATATGCATTCGGGGTAGAATTTTCCATTCTATCCGTTGTGACACTCTACGTCTGTCAGTTCCACCCCAAAAGACCATTTTTAATATTTCGAGTCCGTTAATGCTACCTCCCGTGAAAAAAAGAGGTGCAACACGAGCACTTCACAGGAGGTCACCCATCCTAGTACTACTCTCGCCCAAGCACGCTTACCTGCGGAGTTCTGATGGGATCCGGTGCATTAGTGCTGGTATGATCGCACCTACATGTGTACGCGCGATCAATATCCTTAAGTCGTAATTATCCAATTTTGGCATAACTTTAGAACCGTATATCAGAATTCGACATATAATATATGCATTCGGGGTAGAATTTTCCATTCTATCCGTTGTGACACACTACGTCTGTCAGTTCCACCCCAAAAGACCATTTTTAATATTTCGAGTCCGTTAATGCTACCTCCCGTGAGGGAAAGAGGTGCAACACGAGGACTTCCCAGGAGGTCACCCATCCTAGTACTACTCTCGCCCAAGCACGCTTAACTGCGGAGTTCTGATGGGATCCGGTGCATTAGTGCTGGTATGATCGCACCTGCATGTGTACGCGCGATCAAATTCCTTAAGTCGTAATTATCCATTTTTGGCATAACTTTAGAACCGTATATCAGAATTCGACATATAATATATGCATTCGGGGTAGAATTTTCCATTCTATCCGTTGTGACAGACTACGTCTGTCAGTTCCACCCCAAAAGACCATTTTTAATATTTCGAGTCCGTTAATGCTACCTCCCGTGAAAAAAAGAGGTGCAACACGAGGACTTCCCAGGAGGTCACCCATCCTAGTACTACTCTCGCCCAAGCACGCTTAACTGCGGAGTTCTGATGGGATCCGGTGCATTAGTGCTGGTATGATCGCACCTGCATGTGTACGCGCGATCAAATTCCTTAAGTCGTAATTATCCATTTTTGGCATAACTTTAGAACCGTATATCAGAATTCGACATATAATATATGCATTCGGGGTAGAATTTTCCATTCTATCCGTTGTGACAGACTACGTCTGTCAGTTCCACCCCAAAAGACCATTTTTAATATTTCGAGTCCGTTAATGGCATGTGTACGCGCGATCAAATTCCTTAAGTCGTAATTATCCATTTTTGGCATAACTTTAGAACCGTATATCAGAATTCGACATATAATATATGCATTCGGGGTAGAATTTTCCATTCTATCCGTTGTGACAAACTACGTCTGTCAGTTCCACCCCAAAAGACCATTTTTAATATTTCGAGTCCGTTAATGCTACCTCCCGTGGAAAAAAGAGGTGCAACACGAGGACTTCCCAGGAGGTCACCCATCCTAGTACTACTCTCGCCCAAGCACGCTTCACTGCGGAGTTCTGATGGGATCCGGTGCATTAGTGCTGGTATGATCGCACCTGCATGTGTACGCGCGATCAAATTCCTTAAGTCGTAATTATCCATTTTTGGCATAACTTTAGAACCGTATATCAGAATTCGACATATAATATATGCATTCGGGGTAGAATTTTCCATTCTATCCGTTGTGACACACTACGTCTGTCAGTTCCACCCCAAAAGACCATTTTTAATATTTCGAGTCCGTTAATGCTACCTCCCGTGGAAAAAAGAGGTGCAACATGAGGACTTCCCAGGAGGTCACCCATCCTAGTACTACTCTCGCCCAAGCACGCTTAACTGCGGAGTTCTGATGGGATCCGGTGCATTAGTGCTGGTATGATCGCACCTGCATGTGTACGCGCGATCAAATTCCTTAAGTCGTAATTATCCATTTTTGGCATAACTTTAGAACCGTATATCAGAATTCGACATATAATATATGCATTCGGGGTAGAATTTTCCATTCTATCCGTTGTGACAAACTACGTCTGTCAGTTCCACCCCAAAAGTCCAAAAGACCATTTTTAATATTTCGAGTCCGTTAATGCTACCTCCCGTGGAAAAAAGAGGTGCAACACGAGGACTTCCCAGGAGGTCACCCATCCTAGTACTACTCTCGCCCAAGCACGCTTAACTGCGGAGTTCTGATGGGATCCGGTGCATTAGTGCTGGTATGATCGCACCTGCATGTGTACGCGCGATCAAATTCCTTAAGTCGTAATTATCCATTTTTGGCATAACTTTAGAACCGTATATCAGAATTCGACATATAATATATGCATTCGGGGTAGAATTTTCCATTCTATCCGTTGTGACAAACTACGTCTGTCAGTTCCACCCCAAAAGTCCAAAAGACCATTTTTAATATTTCGAGTCCGTTAATGCTACCTCCCGTGGAAAAAAGAGGTGCAACACGAGGACTTCCCAGGAGGTCACCCATCCTAGTACTACTCTCGCCCAAGCACGCTTAACTGCGGAGTTCTGATGGGATCCGGTGCATTAGTGCTGGTATGATCGCACCTGCATGTGTACGCGCGATCAAATTCCTTAAGTCGTAATTATCCATTTTTGGCATAACTTTAGAACCGTATATCAGAATTCGACATATAATATATGCATTCGGGGTAGAATTTTCCATTCTATCCGTTGTGACAGACTACGTCTGTCAGTTCCACCCCAAAAGACCATTTTTAATATTTCGAGTCCGTTAATGGCATGTGTACGCGCGATAAAATTCCTTAAGTCGTAATTATCCATTTTTGGCATAACTTTAGAACCGTATATCAGAATTCGACATATAATATATGCATTCGGGGTAGAATTTTCCATTCTATCCGTTGTGACAAACTACGTCTGTCAGTTCCACCCCAAAAGACCATTTTTAATATTTCGAGTCCGTTAATGCTACCTCCCGTGGAAAAAAGAGGTGCAACACGAGGACTTCCCAGGAGGTCACCCATCCTAGTACTACTCTCGCCCAAGCACGCTTCACTGCGAAGTTCTGATGGGATCCGGTGCATTAGTGCTGGTATGATCGCACCTGCATGTGTACGCGCGATCAAATTCCTTAAGTCGTAATTATCCATTTTTGGCATAACTTTAGAACCGTATATCAGAATTCGACATATAATATATGCATTCGGGGTAGAATTTTCCATTCTATCCGTTGTGACACACTACGTCTGTCAGTTCCACCCCAAAAGACCATTTTTAATATTTCGAGTCCGTTAATGCTACCTCCCGTGGAAAAAAGAGGTGCAACATGAGGACTTCCCAGGAGGTCACCCATCCTAGTACTACTCTCGCCCAAGCACGCTTAACTGCGGAGTTCTGATGGGATCCGGTGCATTAGTGCTGGTATGATCGCACCTGCATGTGTACGCGCGATCAAATTCCTTAAGTCGTAATTATCCATTTTTGGCATAACTTTAGAACCGTATATCAGAATTCGACATATAATATATGCATTCGGGGTAGAATTTTCCATTCTATCCGTTGTGACAAACTACGTCTGTCAGTTCCACCCCAAAAGTCCAAAAGACCATTTTTAATATTTCGAGTCCGTTAATGCTACCTCCCGTGGAAAAAAGAGGTGCAACACGAGGACTTCCCAGGAGGTCACCCATCCTAGTACTACTCTCGCCCAAGCACGCTTAACTGCGGAGTTCTGATGGGATCCGGTGCATTAGTGCTGGTATGATCGCACCTGCATGTGTACGCGCGATCAAATTCCTTAAGTCGTAATTATCCATTTTTGGCATAACTTTAGAACCGTATATCAGAATTCGACATATAATATATGCATTCGGGGTAGAATTTTCCATTCTATCCGTTGTGACAAACTACGTCTGTCAGTTCCACCCCAAAAGACCATTTTTAATATTTCGAGTCCGTTAATGCTACCTCCCGTGGAAAAAAGAGGTGCAACACGAGGACTTCCCAGGAGGTCACCCATCCTAGTACTACTCTCGCCCAAGCACGCTTAACTGCGAAGTTCTGATGGGATCCGGTGCATTAGTGCTGGTATGATCGCACCTGCATGTGTACGCGCGATCAAATTCCTTAAGTCGTAATTATCCATTTTTGGCATAACTTTAGAACCGTATATCAGAATTCGACATATAATATATGCATTCGGGGTAGAATTTTCCATTCTATCCGTTGTGACACACTACGTCTGTCAGTTCCACCCCAAAAGACCATTTTTAATATTTCGAGTCCGTTAATGCTACCTCCCGTGGAAAAAAGAGGTGCAACACGAGGACTTCCCAGGAGGTCACCCATCCTAGTACTACTCTCGCCCAAGCACGCTTAACTGCGGAGTTCTGATGGGATCCGGTGCATTAGTGCTGGTATGATCGCACCTGCATGTGTACGCGCGATCAAATTCCTTAAGTCGTAATTATCCATTTTTGGCATAACTTTAGAACCGTATATCAGAATTCGACATATAATATATGCATTCGGGGTAGAATTTTCCATTCTATCCGTTGTGACACACTACGTCTGTCAGTTCCACCCCAAAAGTCCAAAAGACCATTTTTAATATTTCGAGTCCGTTAATGCTACCTCCCGTGGAAAAAAGAGGTGCAACATGAGGACTTCCCAGGAGGTCACCCATCCTAGTACTACTCTCGCCCAAGCACGCTTAACTGTGGAGTTCTGATGGGATCCGGTGCATTAGTGCTGGTATGATCGCACTTGCATGTGTACGCGCGATCAAATTCCTTAAGTCGTAATTATCCATTTTTGGCATAACTTTAGAACCGTATATCAGAATTCGACATATAATATATGCATTCGGGGTAGAATTTTCCATTCTACCCGTTGTGACAAACTACGTCTGTCAGTTCCTCCCCAAAAGTCCAAAAGACCATTTTTAATATTTCGAGTCCGTTAATGCTACCTCCCGTGGAAAAAAGAGGTGCAACACGAGGACTTCCCAGGAGGTCACCCATCCTAGTACTACTCTCGCCCAAGCACGCTTAACTGCGGAGTTCTGATGGGATCCGGTGCATTAGTGCAGGTATGATCGCACCTGCATGTGTACGCGCGATCAAATTCCTTAAGTCGTAATTATCCATTTTTGGCATAACTTTAGAACCGTATATCAGAATTCGACATATAATATATGCATTCGGGGTAGAATTTTCCATTCTATCCGTTGTGACAAACTACGTCTGTCAGTTCCACCCCAAAAGTCCAAAAGACCATTTTTAATATTTCGAGTCCGTTAATGCTACCTCCCGTGGAAAAAAGAGGTGCAACACGAGGACTTCCCAGGAGGTCACCCATCCTAGTACTACTCTCGCCCAAGCACGCTTAACTGCGGAGTTCTGATGGGATCCGGTGCATTAGTGCTGGTATGATCGCACCTGCATGTGTACGCGCGATCAAATTCCTTAAGTCGTAATTATCCATTTTTGGCATAACTTTAGAACCGTATATCAGAATTCGACATATAATATATGCATTCGGGGTAGAATTTTCCATTCTATCCGTTGTGACAAACTACGTCTGTCAGTTCCACCCCAAAAGACCATTTTTAATATTTCGAGTCCGTTAATGCTACCTCCCGTGGAAAAAAGAGGTGCAACACGAGGACTTCCCAGGAGGTCACCCATCCTAGTACTACTCTCGCCCAAGCACGCTTAACTGCGGAGTTCTGATGGGATCCGGTGCATTAGTGCTGGTATGATCGCACCTGCATGTGTACGCGCGATCAAATTCCTTAAGTCGTAATTATCCATTTTTGGCATAACTTTAGAACCGTATATCAGAATTCGACATATAATATATGCATTCGGGGTAGAATTTTCCATTCTATCCGTTGTGACAAACTACGTCTGTCAGTTCCACCCCAAAAGTCCAAAAGACCATTTTTAATATTTCGAGTCCGTTAATGCTACCTCCCGTGGAAAAAAGAGGTGCAACACGAGGACTTCCCAGGAGGTCACCCATCCTAGTACTACTCTCGCCCAAGCACGCTTAACTGCGGAGTTCTGATGGGATCCGGTGCATTAGTGCTGGTATGATCGCACCTGCATGTGTACGCGCGATCAAATTCCTTAAGTCGTAATTATCCATTTTTGGCATAACTTTAGAACCGTATATCAGAATTCGACATATAATATATGCATTCGGGGTAGAATTTTCCATTCTATCCGTTGTGACAGACTACGTCTGTCAGTTCCACCCCAAAAGACCATTTTTAATATTTCGAGTCCGTTAATGGCATGTGTACGCGCGATAAAATTCCTTAAGTCGTAATTATCCATTTTTGGCATAACTTTAGAACCGTATATCAGAATTCGACATATAATATATGCATTCGGGGTAGAATTTTCCATTCTATCCGTTGTGACAAACTACGTCTGTCAGTTCCACCCCAAAAGACCATTTTTAATATTTCGAGTCCGTTAATGCTACCTCCCGTGGAAAAAAGAGGTGCAACACGAGGACTTCCCAGGAGGTCACCCATCCTAGTACTACTCTCGCCCAAGCACGCTTCACTGCGAAGTTCTGATGGGATCCGGTGCATTAGTGCTGGTATGATCGCACCTGCATGTGTACGCGCGATCAAATTCCTTAAGTCGTAATTATCCATTTTTGGCATAACTTTAGAACCGTATATCAGAATTCGACATATAATATATGCATTCGGGGTAGAATTTTCCATTCTATCCGTTGTGACACACTACGTCTGTCAGTTCCACCCCAAAAGACCATTTTTAATATTTCGAGTCCGTTAATGCTACCTCCCGTGGAAAAAAGAGGTGCAACATGAGGACTTCCCAGGAGGTCACCCATCCTAGTACTACTCTCGCCCAAGCACGCTTAACTGCGGAGTTCTGATGGGATCCGGTGCATTAGTGCTGGTATGATCGCACCTGCATGTGTACGCGCGATCAAATTCCTTAAGTCGTAATTATCCATTTTTGGCATAACTTTAGAACCGTATATCAGAATTCGACATATAATATATGCATTCGGGGTAGAATTTTCCATTCTATCCGTTGTGACAAACTACGTCTGTCAGTTCCACCCCAAAAGTCCAAAAGACCATTTTTAATATTTCGAGTCCGTTAATGCTACCTCCCGTGGAAAAAAGAGGTGCAACACGAGGACTTCCCAGGAGGTCACCCATCCTAGTACTACTCTCGCCCAAGCACGCTTAACTGCGGAGTTCTGATGGGATCCGGTGCATTAGTGCTGGTATGATCGCACCTGCATGTGTACGCGCGATCAAATTCCTTAAGTCGTAATTATCCATTTTTGGCATAACTTTAGAACCGTATATCAGAATTCGACATATAATATATGCATTCGGGGTAGAATTTTCCATTCTATCCGTTGTGACACACTACGTCTGTCAGTTCCACCCCAAAAGTCCAAAAGACCATTTTTAATATTTCGAGTCCGTTAATGCTACCTCCCGTGGAAAAAATAGGTGCAACACGAGGACTTCCCAGGAGGTCACCCATCCTAGTACTACTCTCGCCCAAGCACGCTTAACTGCGGAGTTCTGATGGGATCCGGTGCATTAGTGCTGGTATGATCGCACCTGCATGTGTACGCGCGATCAAATTCCTTAAGTCGTAATTATCCATTTTTGGCATAACTTTAGAACCGTATATCAGAATTCGACATATAATATATGCATTCGGGGTAGAATTTTCCATTCTATCCGTTGTGACAAACTACGTCTGTCAGTTCCACCCCAAAAGACCATTTTTAATATTTCGAGTCCGTTAATGCTACCTCCCGTGGAAAAAAGAGGTGCAACACGAGGACTTCCCAGGAGGTCACCCATCCTAGTACTACTCTCGCCCAAGCACGCTTAACTGCGGAGTTCTGATGGGATCCGGTGCATTAGTGCTGGTATGATCGCACCTGCATGTGTACGCGCGATCAAATTCCTTAAGTCGTAATTATCCATTTTTGGCATAACTTTAGAACCGTATATCAGAATTCGACATATAATATATGCATTCGGGGTAGAATTTTCCATTCTATCCGTTGTGACACACTACGTCTGTCAGTTCCACCCCAAAAGTCCAAAAGACCATTTTTAATATTTCGAGTCCGTTAATGCTACCTCCCGTGGAAAAAATAGGTGCAACACGAGGACTTCCCAGGAGGTCACCCATCCTAGTACTACTCTCGCCCAAGCACGCTTAACTGCGGAGTTCTGATGGGATCCGGTGCATTAGTGCTGGTATGATCGCACCTGCATGTGTACGCGCGATCAAATTCCTGAAGTCGTAATTATCCATTTTTGGCATAACTTTAGAACCGTATATCAGAATTCGACATATAATATATGCATTCGGGGTAGAATTTTCCATTCTATCCGTTGTGACAGACTACGTCTGTCAGTTCCACCCCAAAAGACCATTTTTAATATTTCGAGTCCGTTAATGGCATGTGTACGCGCGATAAAATTCCTTAAGTCGTAATTATCCATTTTTGGCATAACTTTAGAACCGTATATCAGAATTCGACATATAATATATGCATTCGGGGTAGAATTTTCCATTCTATCCGTTGTGACAAACTACGTCTGTCAGTTCCACCCCAAAAGACCATTTTTAATATTTCGAGTCCGTTAATGCTACCTCCCGTGGAAAAAAGAGGTGCAACACGAGGACTTCCCAGGAGGTCACCCATCCTAGTACTACTCTCGCCCAAGCACGCTTCACTGCGAAGTTCTGATGGGATCCGGTGCATTAGTGCTGGTATGATCGCACCTGCATGTGTACGCGCGATCAAATTCCTTAAGTCGTAATTATCCATTTTTGGCATAACTTTAGAACCGTATATCAGAATTCGACATATAATATATGCATTCGGGGTAGAATTTTCCATTCTATCCGTTGTGACACACTACGTCTGTCAGTTCCACCCCAAAAGACCATTTTTAATATTTCGAGTCCGTTAATGCTACCTCCCGTGTAAAAAAGAGGTGCAACATGAGGACTTCCCAGGAGGTCACCCATCCTAGTACTACTCTCGCCCAAGCACGCTTAACTGCGGAGTTCTGATGGGATCCGGTGCATTAGTGCTGGTATGATCGCACCTGCATGTGTACGCGCGATCAAATTCCTTAAGTCGTAATTATCCATTTTTGGCATAACTTTAGAACCGTATATCAGAATTCGACATATAATATATGCATTCGGGGTAGAATTTTCCATTCTATCCGTTGTGACAAACTACGTCTGTCAGTTCCACCCCAAAAGTCCAAAAGACCATTTTTAATATTTCGAGTCCGTTAATGCTACCTCCCGTGGAAAAAAGAGGTGCAACACGAGGACTTCCCAGGAGGTCACCCATCCTAGTACTACTCTCGCCCAAGCACGCTTAACTGCGGAGTTCTGATGGGATCCGGTGCATTAGTGCTGGTATGATCGCACCTGCATGTGTACGCGCGATCAAATTCCTTAAGTCGTAATTATCCATTTTTGGCATAACTTTAGAACCGTATATCAGAATTCGACATATAATATATGCATTCGGGGTAGAATTTTCCATTCTATCCGTTGTGACACACTACGTCTGTCAGTTCCACCCCAAAAGTCCAAAAGACCATTTTTAATATTTCGAGTCCGTTAATGCTACCTCCCGTGGAAAAAAGAGGTGCAACACGAGGACTTCCCAGGAGGTCACCCATCCTAGTACTACTCTCGCCCAAGCACGCTTAACTGCGGAGTTCTGATGGGATCCGGTGCATTAGTGCTGGTATGATCGCACCTGCATGTGTACGCGCGATCAAATTCCTTAAGTCGTAATTATCCATTTTTGGCATAACTTTAGAACCGTATATCAGAATTCGACATATAATATATGCATTCGGGGTAGAATTTTCCATTCTATCCGTTGTGACAAACTACGTCTGTCAGTTCCACCCCAAAAGACCATTTTTAATATTTCGAGTCCGTTAATGCTACCTCCCGTGGAAAAAAGAGGTGCAACACGAGGACTTCCCAGGAGGTCACCCATCCTAGTACTACTCTCGCCCAAGCACGCTTAACTGCGGAGTTCTGATGGGATCCGGTGCATTAGTGCTGGTATGATCGCACCTGCATGTGTACGCGCGATCAAATTCCTTAAGTCGTAATTATCCATTTTTGGCATAACTTTAGAACCGTATATCAGAATTCGACATATAATATATGCATTCGGGGTAGAATTTTCCATTCTATCCGTTGTGACACACTACGTCTGTCAGTTCCACCCCAAAAGACCATTTTTAATATTTCGAGTCCGTTAATGCTACCTCCCGTGGAAAAAAGAGGTGCAACACGAGGACTTCCCAGGAGGTCACCCATCCTAGTACTACTCTCGCCCAAGCACGCTTAACTGCGGAGTTCTGATGGGATCCGGTGCATTAGTGCTGGTATGATCGCACCTGCATGTGTACGCGCGATCAAATTCCTTAAGTCGTAATTATCCATTTTTGGCATAACTTTAGAACCGTATATCAGAATTCGACATATAATATATGCATTCGGGGTAGAATTTTCCATTCTATCCGTTGTGACACACTACGTCTGTCAGTTCCACCCCAAAAGTCCAAAAGACCATTTTTAATATTTCGAGTCCGTTAATGCTACCTCCCGTGGAAAAAAGAGGTGCAACATGAGGACTTCCCAGGAGGTCACCCATCCTAGTACTACTCTCGCCCAAGCACGCTTAACTGCGGAGTTCTGATGGGATCCGGTGCATTAGTGCTGGTATGATCGCACCTTGCATGTGTACGCGCGATCAAATTCCTTAAGTCGTAATTATCCATTTTTGGCATAACTTTAGAACCGTATATCAGAATTCGACATATAATATATGCATTCGGGGTAGAATTTTCCATTCTATCCGTTGTGACAAACTACGTCTGTCAGTTCCACCCCAAAAGTCCAAAAGACCATTTTTAATATTTCGAGTCCGTTAATGCTACCTCCCGTGGAAAAAAGAGGTGCAACACGAGGACTTCCCAGGAGGTCACCCATCCTAGTACTACTCTCGCCCAAGCACGCTTAACTGCGGAGTTCTGATGGGATCCGGTGCATTAGTGCTGGTATGATCGCACCTGCATGTGTACGCGCGATCAAATTCCTTAAGTCGTAATTATCCATTTTTGGCATAACTTTAGAACCGTATATCAGAATTCGACATATAATATATGCATTCGGGGTAGAATTTTCCATTCTATCCGTTGTGACAAACTACGTCTGTCAGTTCCACCCCAAAAGTCCAAAAGACCATTTTTAATATTTCGAGTCCGTTAATGCTACCTCCCGTGGAAAAAAGAGGTGCAACACGAGGACTTCCCAGGAGGTCACCCATCCTAGTACTACTCTCGCCCAAGCACGCTTAACTGCGGAGTTCTGATGGGATCCGGTGCATTAGTGCTGGTATGATCGCACCTGCATGTGTACGCGCGATCAAATTCCTTAAGTCGTAATTATCCATTTTTGGCATAACTTTAGAACCGTATATCAGAATTCGACATATAATATATGCATTCGGGGTAGAATTTTCCATTCTATCCGTTGTGACACACTACGTCTGTCAGTTCCACCCCAAAAGTCCAAAAGACCATTTTTAATATTTCGAGTCCGTTAATGCTACCTCCCGTGGAAAAAAGAGGTGCAACACGAGGACTTCCCAGGAGGTCACCCATCCTAGTACTACTCTCGCCCAAGCACGCTTAACTGCGGAGTTCTGATGGGATCCGGTGCATTAGTGCTGGTATGATCGCACCTGCATGTGTACGCGCGATCAAATTCCTTAAGTCGTAATTATCCATTTTTGGCATAACTTTAGAACCGTATATCAGAATTCGACATATAATATATGCATTCGGGGTAGAATTTTCCATTCTATCCGTTGTGACAAACTACGTCTGTCAGTTCCACCCCAAAAGTCCAAAAGACCATTTTTAATATTTCGAGTCCGTTAATGCTACCTCCCGTGGAAAAAAGAGGTGCAACACGAGGACTTCCCAGGAGGTCACCCATCCTAGTACTACTCTCGCCCAAGCACGCTTAACTGCGGAGTTCTGATGGGATCCGGTGCATTAGTGCTGGTATGATCGCACCTGCATGTGTACGCGCGATCAAATTCCTTAAGTCGTAATTATCCATTTTTGGCATAACTTTAGAACCGTATATCAGAATTCGACATATAATATATGCATTCGGGGTAGAATTTTCCATTCTATCCGTTGTGACAAACTACGTCTGTCAGTTCCACCCCAAAAGTCCAAAAGACCATTTTTAATATTTCGAGTCCGTTAATGCTACCTCCCGTGGAAAAAAGAGGTGCAACACGAGGACTTCCCAGGAGGTCACCCATCCTAGTACTACTCTCGCCCAAGCACGCTTAACTGCGGAGTTCTGATGGGATCCGGTGCATTAGTGCTGGTATGATCGCACCTGCATGTGTACGCGCGATCAAATTCCTTAAGTCGTAATTATCCATTTTTGGCATAACTTTAGAACCGTATATCAGAATTCGACATATAATATATGCATTCGGGGTAGAATTTTCCATTCTATCCGTTGTGA